CCCAAGACCATACTTTTTGAAGGATTATACTGGGTTAGTTGTATTTTATTTTTCTAGCTCCCTCTCAAACACCAAAACATACCTCTAACTAGTTTCAAATTTTCAATTGCGGTGATCTAGCTATTTCACTAGGTTAGTTCACATTTTTTGAAATTGTGAGCACCCCAAAATGGGAAATACATAAACACTACGAAAGGCAATTTAGCCATTCCATTATTCTCACCTAAACTAAATTTTTCTACTTCCAATAATAAAAATAGTGAAATATAAGGGACTTGGAATAATTTAATTCAAGCATTGATGAAAGCAAAAAAACATGGAGTAGGATGAAGATTCCCTAATAACCTAACCTTTACCAATCATTATGTTAGGTTTGAGACACTATCGTAGTAAGACTAGTAGTTCAAAAAGAACGACCAAACTGCCCCATTTCGTGTTCAAAGTTGTTTAATTGGGTAAACATTTATGCAAACATCATTTATGCAGCTTTGATTGTACAAATACCACAAAAATGCCAAAATAAACAAAAGAAGCATCAACTTACATAAAGATCATGCTCAGCATAGTCAAAAGCTAGGTACAGTGACATATCTATAGGGTTGATGTGCACATTCACCAGTTTTATAACATTCTCATGGGATATCTCCCGGAGCAACTGCATATTTTTGCTTTTGTTAGTAGAGCTAAAATGACTTAGTAAAAAAATTCTAAGCAAAAAAGACAGCTTAAAATAAACTGACAAAACTTCAAAATACTAATTAAGTATTAAACCAATTTCATACTGAAAAAACAGAGGTATGCTGGAAGAACAAGAATTCTCTCCTTGAGTTGTAACAAAACAACTGATAATCCAAGACTAGGTGAAACATTCAAGTCAGAGAAAATAGACCCAGCAATCATTCATCCAGTATTTCGTGATAACCAGATTTGAAGAATACCAGATAGAAAACCTTCCATTTTGTTAACTTACAAATTACAATCTTTTATGTTCAAAAATACATGCTGATTTTATAGAATCTTAATCATTTCGGACCACATACTTGACCATTTAAGCTGTGGAAAAAGATGCATACAAACACTTAACTGTAAGAAGTAAGAAGAAATAATCCAACTTTTTAAATTTTAAAAAAAGACGCCTAAGAAATAATCTTTTAAAACGTGGTATTTGCACAGACACAGCAGGGTATAATTACTAGGAGCAATAACAAGAGATGAACAAGGGAACCATTATTTCGCGAATAGCAGTGGGAGAGATGCCATCCCCATCCTTAGACTGCTTGAATTTCTTGATAGCGATGGGCTTGTTGCCGCAAGACTTGATCTTCGCCAAAAACACGAGTCCGTACGTTCCTTCTCCGATCTTCCCTAAAAGATCGTACTGTTGCAGCCACTCCGGCCTGTTGCCGCTGCCTCTACTGCTGTTTCCATCCCCCATTCGTCTTCTTCTTTATTAGGACCTGTTCTTATACCTCAATAATCTCTCTAATTCTTCAATGACTTCCAACTGCTGGAATATATTGGAAAATCTACTGGATCAAATTGGTGCTCACAATCTTACCTCGGGGTTCTGAAAGCAAATTTTGGGGGGAGCATGCCGGACGGACCGAATCAAGATTTTGGGGGCGGCCCGTTACTAATTTGACAACATAGATTATGATTTTTTAAGTTTTAAATATATTCAAAAATAAACATTCAGTTATTCGAAAACGAGTATTCATGTGGATGTATGAAAAATATAATACATCCGGATATATGATATATGTATTCTAATTAGACCCCTTTCATTTGAGGGAAAAGATTAAGTTTTCAAAATTCTCTAATTTATTCTAGTTCTTTTAATAACGATTTCAGTAATGTATTTAGATACGATTAATATATAATAACATGTCCAAGTTTATAACTTACTACCTCACATACAAACAATGATGAATTTCTTAGTCCAAAACTAGAGTTTTTACATTTTAACTTTTTCAAATTTTTCTAGTTTTTTTCAATGCCCTCCTCTTTCTTCTATAATTCAAGTTTGAAACTCCAATCCAAAAGAACAGACCGAGCCTTAAAAAAATTGGACGGACTTGAAAGAAATTAAAAAGGTCGTAAAAAATCGAAAGAATTGGAAAAAACTATAAAAAGTTAGAAAAAAATAAAAAGAGTTAGAAAAGAAATTGAAAGAGTTGAACAAATAGAAGGTGTTAGAATAATTGCATTATTTTATAAATTTCATATTTTATTTAAATAGTTTTACTCTAATTTTTTAAAGTTCTTATTTTTATTTTCTTCTATGTTATTATATTATATATCAAATCATATTTGTAATTTTTGTATGACTCACACCTTACTTTTTTTAATATCAATATCAATTATGTAGTCGAGTAATTTTTTGTTTCTCAAGCAGCATGCACTAATACATGCGACAAAAATAAATTGACAAACCAAGCAATATTTTTTACTAATCTAGCTTAGCTAAAAAAACGGGACATGATAATATAACGATGTCTTGACCAAAAAAATTCCTACAACTCATGATCAGAGAGTAATGATTTTAATTTTCGATTATAAATTTTAAATTTCACATGATTTATGTAGTATTTTTATCTAATTATCGAACATATGATTTAGATAAGTAACTTTCAATAACTTGATATATATATATATATATATATATATATATATATATATATATATATATATAATCTACTAATGAAGAACACTTGTACAAGTTGCCCGACCTTGGAGAAATTTTAAGTACATGAAACACTACATGTATGAAACAACAATTGGACATCTATATTTTCAAGCTCTTTTTAAATTTTAGCCAAAAGTGTAATATATTTCTAGCAAGTGATTTTTAATCAAATCAAAAAGCAATGGAAGCCATTATAGAGAAAACTGATGAAATATTTGCACTAAATAACACCAAAACTTAAGTCATTTCTCTAAATAGTTCTTAAATTGTTTTATTCCCTAAATAGCACTTAATAATGTATATAATGACCAGTGATGACAAATATTTATTTGAATAATGACTAATGGATAATTACTAAGAGTGTTAAATTGGGAAAAAACACATTGAGTACTATTTAAGAAAAGTCATTATGTTTTAAGGTTATTTCCGTAAATTCCTCAAAACTAATCTCACTCTAAAACAAACCTGGACACAGACCCATTCCAGTTTTGGGACTGCCGGTTATAGTACCGTCAAGTGGGATGGAGGTACCACCACCGGTGTTCGCGTTTGTCGGTGTTGGTTCTGGAACCAGCCGGTTCGGTATAAGAACTTTTTTTAATTTATTGATTTTTTAGTTTTTTGAATTTTTTTACTTAAAGAATAATATATTGCTAAAATCTTTGTCTAAAATTAGTTATTGGAAAATAATGAAAACTGGACCGTACATAAGTCTCAACTACGTTTAATGCCATTACGATTCAAAAAATGACGAGGTAAAGAACTAGAAAAAAAACCTCGAAAGATCTTATAGATTGCTCACCTAAAAAACTAAATTACATTCTTTAACAATAAAAACGTGAAGAAAATCGCTCGTCCAAACCACCACTTTCAATTCCTCCGTGATTGCGTCCATGTAGCTTTGCATATTTATGTCGTACCCCGTCTCTTTGCCGTCAACACCTCGCCAAGAGCGAATCTCGATTGTAATCTAGTGTCTCTAACGATTCGGCATTAAGACTACTCTGGAAGTTGGTTAAAATGTTACCACTATAACCAGACTCCTCCTCCATGACTACCATTGATGTCGGCATTGATAACACATATTTAGCTAGCATTACAAGTGACGGGAACATATACTCATTCTGTTTCCACCAATTGAGGGTGTCGAATTTGTTTTCATTTTATTTGTGGTAGTCCCATTTTTTATGAATAAAAATATCCAATTGTAAACTTCATGAGCTTCCTTCGCAAACCCACACTTTCGGCTAAGGCTGTTCATGTTTAGGTCCAGATTGGAAAAACCATCAAATCAGACTGATAGATCCAGATCGAACCTGGATCGAATAGTTTTTTGGTCAATCTTCAATCCAGTTGTTTTATTTTCGGGTTTTGCTCTGGTCTGGTCGAAACCCGACTCCATTCGATCCTGGCTGAAAAGATATACAATATACACTTACTCAGTTACTCTGCATTTCTTATTTCCACCATACACATTTAATCTCCATTCCGTTCACCTGATTTGATCGGTTTTTTTGTAGATTTGGTCTAATCTGATTGGATCTAATCGAATTTGATCTGTTCTGATACGATAAAACCTAATTTAATTATATTTACATTTACAAGAATTTTTTATCTAATATGGTAAAATGTGATTTAGGCCATTTTTTATCTGATTTGAACGATTCTAATTTAATTAGATTAAATTTGACCTGATATGATTATATTTATATATAATTATATTTATATTTAAAATTGTTTGTGAAATGTAAACTATGTGATTCCCGCAAATCACCAAGGTTCGAGTGACATTGGACTTCAATGTCATGGGATGACCCGGGGGTGCTCCGGTGCCCCGTTCGTAAAAATGACGGTTCCTACCCCCCTAACCCTCCCGGTAAACCCCCCACCCGGCCCCGACCCGAACACACCCCCCAGCCGGAAAAACCGACCAAACCGGACCGATCGGTCCAGACTGAACCCGAACTGAAAGGATTTCGGGTCGGTCTTCGGTCTGGAGTATTCTTAATTTCAGGTTTCAGTCTGGTCCGGTCATTAACCTATTACCAATAGGTCCAGACCTAAGTGACCCATAAACTCCTTATATCCCTTTTTTTTGGAAAATGCTAGGAGTACACCAAAAGTGTACCCCAAACATTCCCACCCCCTCCATCACCACACAAAAAAGGCAAGAAAATTTCAAAAAAAAGGTAAAAAATAAAAAGAAAATAAAATGAATGGTGCAGAGGCAAGTGGTGTGGGCGTAGCATATCCCTTTTTTTCGTTCAAAGAACACCACTCACTCAATAGCCCAACCTTATCCGACCTTAATCGCCATGTCCCCTATGTTGTTCTAGAGCAAAGGATTCGCCGAGAGCCTTCGCCATCAGTACCAGCCATCGCCAATTCACCCGTCAGTTCCACTGCCTAGCGCCGACTGCCCAGTTGCCCACTGCCCAGCACCGCGTCGCCGACTCCCTCAATCCCAATTGAATCAGGTACGGTACTCATCTCGTCTCCTTCTCTGTAATCCCTAGTCTTCTTCTCAATTAGGTTTCTTCTTGTTAAATTTTTCCCATGTTATTTGTAGGGCTTAGCAAAATTGTTTTATTCTTAGATTTTTTTCTCCAAAGCTGATTGTTTATTGTTTAAAAAAAACAATTATGTCAATTGTTAAAAAAAAGTTGAGAGTTCTCTGATGATGATGACTGGTGACTGGTGATTACTCCAATTCTCTAAATGTACTTAGTGCTTACATTTTCTATATATTCCCTTGGGGATTAAGGGTAGGCTAACAACCAATTATCAGAACTCAGTTCATGTGCAGTCCAGTAAAGAGGATAATCAGATTGTTACTTTGGAGTTACTGGCTTTAAAGGATAATTGTGAAGTCTTTACCTCAGTATATGTGCTAAACAAGCAGAAGATAGGAGGTTGTTGTGGTCTAGTTTTGTGTAGTTTAAGTTCTCTAGTACTCATTGGATTCATTTTAAAAGAAGTAAAGATGTTAAATATTTTCTATGCATTCTGTGTGGGCATTAAAAAAAATTCAGTCCAATCGGTCTATTCGGGTTCGGTTTAAGAGTTTTCGGTCCGGACCGGTTCAAGACCGACTGAGAATAGATCCGGTCTTCGGTCCTATATTTTTCCAATTTCGGTCTTCGGTCCGGTCCGGTCCGATCCTGAACTGATGAACACCCCTACCCCGGGTCATCCCATGACATTGAGGTCTAATGTCACCTGAACATTCCCCTGAAAAACACTCATTCTTATAATATTGGTAGCTTTCCAATCAGTTTATTTTTTCGATTGATGAGACCAAATCAAATTAAAAAGACTCTACTTGTATTGGATCTTATTTTTCCCACACAATCGCAGAGGCGGCACAGCCTCTTGCCTTTCCCATCATCCTCTCTGTCATCATCTTGGCACACGCGCCCAGCTCCACCCCTGCCACCGGCAGTCAGTAGCATCTTCACCGCAGGGCTTCAGACGACCTCAATAACCTCATCTCCTGTGCCTTCAGCGCCAACGAGCAGTGACTACCAACAGCGGAGCAGAATCAAATTATTGGGTGATTACCGTCATTCCAGGTGATCGCCTAATCCCTTTCACCTGATTTAATTTCCCATGTCTGCAAAAACTGATTTCACTTTTATTTTAATTTTATCCATATCTCAAACTGATTTCACTACTCATTGTTTGTTTTTGCTTTTTAAGGGGTTTGCTTTGTTGTATATATTTAAAAACAACATAAAAAATTTAACAAAGCACATCACTACGATAACATAAAAAAAGAGGAGGTTATTTCTTACCAAGAAAGAGAGCTCGTAACAGGCCTCCTCCGGGACCCCATATACCCGAATCCCAGGGAAAGGCCGGGGGAGCTGTTGAGCCGGCTTGACCGGGGAAGGAATGCTGCGGTAATGTCCCTCCAGCTTCCGGTAGCTTTTGGGGATTAAGAAGACGACGAATGTGCCTGATGATTTTGAAAAAAAATAAAATACTTCATGGATTAATTGTAATCTTTCAAATTTTAGATTAAAACATTGAGAATAATGCGGAGTAAAACTTTTTATTACCTCTCCTTGAACCTGAATTGATTCAGGTATCTTTATGCCCTGAACACTCCAAGATTCCAGCAAGATTGACCATATCCTCACTTATTCCGCCATCTTCGTCATGTCTAAAGACCAAATAGTCTGCTCCAAACTCCAATGTCTGTCCGCCATTAATGGCAGAAAAACTCGAGTTCTTCTGCCGTTAATGACGGACAGACTTTGGAGCAGGCTATTTGGTCTTTAGACATGACGAAGATGGCGGAATAGGTGACGATATGGTCAATCTTGCTGGAATCTTGGAGTGCTCGGGGCATAAAGATACTAAATCAATTCAGGTTCAGGGAGAGGTAAAAATAAGTTTTACTCCGCATTATTCTCAATGTTTTACTCTAAAATTTGAAAGATTGCAATTAATCCACGGAGGATTTTATTTTTTTCGAAATCATCAGGCATCTTCATCGTCTTCTCCATTCCAAAAAGCTACCGGAAGCTGGAGGGACATTACCGCAGCATTCCTTCCCCGATCAAGCCGGCTCAACGGCTCCCCCGGCCTTTCCATGGATTCGGGTCGATGGGGTTCCGGAGGAGGCCTGTTACGAGCTCTCTTTCTTGGTAAGAAATAACGTCCTCTTTTTTTATGTTATCGTAGTGATGTGCTTTGTTAAATTTTTTATGTTGTTTTTTGCTTGGATAAAATGTTATTGCTTTTTGCTTCTTTTTCGGTCATGGTTGTTGTTGGATTATGAAGCTCATTGACTTCATTGTGTATGTGTTTGGACTCTGGTTTATGATGTCCATTGTACTACATTTTTCCACCAGAATTGAAATCTGAAACCAGTTGTTTTGGCTTGGACTCAATCCTTTGAGTCTAAACCGATTTGATCCATACGATTTCGTTTCAGTGTGGTTCGGTCCAGTTTTAGATCTATGAAACTGCAATCTACACTCTAAATCCCAAACAGAATTTGAGATGGAGAAATCCGGAGATCCTACCAATAATTCGCGTCCTAACTCTATAGCGATCAGTTTGCCCTTTGTGAAAGAGGTATGCATTTCTTAATGCATAGTTACTTGTGCGGAGCTTTCAGTGTTCCTGAGTACACACAATTATAATTACAAGCACAAGTTTGCAGATGTATTTGAGCGATTGGTGGCTGATAAAAGTCTCTGAACCGGGGCAAATAGGAGTAGCAGGATTCACTTTCAAAGAGTACTGTTTCTCTTCTATCAGTGTCTATTTCCTTCTTTTTCGTAATCTATTCGTGGAACAACTGCTTGTTTTGTTTGTGTTTATGCTCTTGTTTGGAGCTGGTTCGGTATCTAGTCATTGCTTCTGATGAATAGCAATGAAGAATACATGATTTTGGCCTTCCATTCTGATAGATATTTTTGTGCTCGGTTTTATACGAATTGCTATATATTACATGCTGCCTTCATTGTCAAGACTCATTTTGGACAATGTTTTAGCTTCAGAGCTATAATGGACTACATCAAAAGATGGCATTTTAACCTTCCTTGTTTCTTGTTTCTTACTTTGCATGAAGTTTTAGGCAGTAAATGCACCAAAGGTCTTAGAGAAATGGTCCCTCTAATATTTATGGGGTAAAGTTGTGTAACCTAGATACAGGTTTACTTAGACACTTCACAGGAGCTCTCTTCATAATAATTGCAGTCCTGTACCGTAAGATATTGGATTTGTGATAAACTATACCTTCCTCTTTAGGAATGCAATGGGAACCCTGTTTAGTATTCTTGAATAAGGTTTTAACTTGTAAGACCACATTTTAATTAAGATATATATATATATATATATATAGATATATATATATATATATAGATATATATATGTGTGTGTGTGTGTGTATAAAGAAGATTTCAGCTAGGATGAAAGGTGAATTTTACCGGTCCGTAGTTAGACCCGCTATGTAGACCCGCGTTCGTCGATTGCATGTTGCCGAGATGCGGATGCTGGGTTGGATGGTATGGTTGGACAGACGAGGGGTGATCAAATTCGGAACGAAGCTATTCAAATTCGGAACAAAGTTTTGATTGGAATATGTCTTTTTTGTAGTTCGAATTCAATAGTGAAGAAGACGGATCTCTAAATCCTGATTTTTGCCTTGTAGTTTTATAGTAGTACATTTTGTTTTTCGGTTACATGGAATCTGACCCAGTCTAAACCCTAACCTGGATGATCCGACCTTGTGACCAATCCGACCCTAAACGGATCGGATCGCAGAAAGTATTTCACTTTACCCGCGACCCTATCGAGTTGCCCAAGTAATGCGGGTCGGACCCAAACCCGACCCGTGCCCACCCCTACCCACGCATCCGTATGCAGTTGACGGATGTAGAGTTTCTTAACCGACCAACATTCTGCATTATAGAGCATAGCTAGTCTGACAAAGGATCGATAGTCTCCCTTATAGTTTTTCAGAAATTTCTTATTACACAGAACTCTTGATGCCAACTTCCACTTTGCCCAAGCAACTCCAATACTGTGAACAACATTCCCATCTATCTCTCCACCCGCCTGAATGACAGAGCAGAGATACCAAAACGATCTGTCTTAGGCATTGTGTATGAATCAATCCTAACTTCCACTTTGATTCTGTCACCTGATCACTAAAACGACACTCCAAGTACTCAGTCTTAGGGGAACACACAATCACACATTCGGCATGTCCAGATGTCCTATATGGAAAAGAAAGAACAAAACTATTGGACAAAGAGTATTAAAGAAAACAACATTTCTTGAACATAAAATGCATTGCAGAAATATATTACTTTTAAATTACATATTTAGCCTTCATATCAGGAGCCAAGATGCAAGAATTTTTCATTCGGCAGCAATTTCTGAAAGGTTTGATACTGTTACGCTTAAGGCAATGGATGGCATCCTAATTTTAATTAGCGGATGCATCAATAATTCACGTACTATAGAGAATGGCTTCCCAATTGAGGTATGCATATCCACTTATTGCGTTATTTTTTCTGCTTTTATTCTGCGTAGCTAAACCATAAGTGCTCTATACTATTAATATTCTGTCTCCCATTTTAAGTTCATACCCTCCTTTTTGTGGTTTCTCCAAAAAAAGTCTTACCTAAAAAGTTTAATGTATCATTTCACCAATAAATCCTTAATTCAGGGCTTTTGGGAAGTCAACACCCAAAAATTAACTTGCCTAGAAATATGTGAAGTTGAAGTGAACTTCATTTGGTGACGAAGGGATTATTTATTATCTCGGATAAAGCTCACCAAGTAGTCTTATTTTCTCCTACCTAATGAAGGGAAAATTGACTGAAGTGATGCATTCATTGAAACAGGTTTGCCAACATTTCTCCATTGGGTTTCCACATTACTGGGAGGAAGTTGTTGACCAATCTTTTGAACAATCAAAACAGACATATGCTCTACCAAAGCTCTCATTTAATGATGATCTGCCAGCAACTTTTCTGCGTGATTTCTGCGTCCCAGAAATCTACACGACCACAAACGATCTCCCCGTGGAAATACCACAAAAAATGGGCAGTGTTTCGTCTAGGAGAAGTAAAATTTCTGCTCGGAAGTCGGGAAAACAGAAAAGATGAAGTGGATCATGGAGAAGTCTCACATGCAATTTCATAAAGCATTTGCAAGAAGTGAAGGTCATCAAAGTATGTATGTGCTCAATCTGCTATATGGTTGGGATGTGGTTGTTTTAAAGATCTGTATAGGATTGTACATTTACTAGTTCTAGAACTTAAATTAACTTTACGTTTTAGTTAAGAATATTTTTTTTTAAAATTTTGTGATCAAAATTTACAAATTCTGCCCGTAGAAAGTTAAATATGTTTTTTTAGGACGAAGACAATGTTCTGTTCAAATTAATATTTCTGCTTATTACTTATTTTTATTAAGATGAGGTCAGATCATATCTAATCAATTCAATTCATATTCAATCATATCAGATCAGATTCAATTATTTCATATCCATAGATGATAAATGTGCATTAATATTTAATAACTTTAAATAATCCTAACATATATTTTCATTTACTGTTTTTTTAAATACGAAGTTTAAATAAAAGAGTGTTCTATGCTGCATTTTGGATGCATATCATTTTTGTGGATATTTTCATAATTTTTTATTTTCTATTTAAAAAAGACAAATATTTATCTAGATAGTAAAGAAATATTTATTTTGCTCATATGTAGGTTTACCATAGAATTTTCCTAAATTAAAAATATTAAAAACTTCAATTTTGCATGCAATTCATCCATAGAATTTTATTCTTTTTTTTTAAATTCCTCCACGGCAGTGAGTAAATTTTCCCGGTGTGAGTAAATCTTTTTTCCATTGGTATACTTTTGGATATTTACATGTACGCAACCTTTTTTTGTACGCTCTTTAAGTATTTTTTTTTTTTTGAAAAATGCTATTTTGATCCCAAGATTTAAATTCCACCTTAAACTTCACTCACTTATAAGCCTTAGAGACATTCGATACTATTACATGTATGTCTGTAAGAGTGAAATTATAACTTTTTTTTTGCTTTTACTCAATTTTTTTGAAGCTGGGAGAGATTTGAGGAAAAATAAAAACTCCACCCTTGGGATTTAAAAAACAACCACACAAAAATGATGTGGAGAAAAGCGAGTACTCCGTATATATTGGAGTTGTAGAACTTTCCAAAATATTAGCCATAGGCTACGGAATATGAAAAAATTTTGAGCAATGCTAGGGGTACACCATTTTGGTGTACCCCAAATGTACATCGCCCATTCTCCACCAACTATTTGTATTAATATGTATATAATATCACTTTTATTTAATTTGGGGTCAAAATTTACCTATTTTGACGGAAAAAAAAATCAAAAGTGGATAAATACTCCGGAACAGAAGGAAATATTTTGTTAGTAAAATGAAATACCAACCAAGGGAGGATCTACCTTAAAGTATATGGGGGCAGCTGCCCCAGTAAAATAAGAAGTGTTTTACTTTTTTTGTTCTATGTATATCTGCTCCCAGCAAAAAATAAAGATTGCTCCCAGTGAACACTGACTAACCCGTTAAATAAAGTATTTGTAATACTCTAGTGATATTAAATATTTTTGGTACAACAATAACAACATAATTCATTTAGAATTATAATTTTACTAATTTTAAATTATATTTTTACTTATTTTAAATTTGTTTGATATAAAATTAATTTTTTCATCATGATATGAGAGTAAATTTTATAACTGGTCCTTTATAACATGGGGGTTTCCCTATTTAGTCCTCTATTATCAAATATTACCCCAGTGGTCCTTCTTTTATGGGTATCTCTCCACAAATAGTCCTTTTTTTGATCTTCTATCATGTTGGTGTTAATTTGATGGCTAAAAGTGTAATTTCACAATGATAATATATCTTTTTTTGTCATACACAATTTCAAAGGGTGTTCCATTTCTATCGTTTGTGAATTACAGTCGCTTTCTACTACAACCATAGTCTACAAATGTGGTCTTTCGTCAGAATTCTAGCCCACGATCATAGTCATTATTTTTGTGTTATCCGCTTAACCAATATCAGAACACGTGACTAGACATAATGTTGATGTCAAATTATACTTTAAGCCTTTAAATTAATACCAACATGACAGAAGATCAAAAAAAGGACCATTTGTGGAAAGATACCCTTAAAAAAGACTACAGGGGTAATATTTGATAATAGAGGACTAAATATGGAAACTTCTCTGTTATAAAGGATCAATTATGGAATTTACTCATGATATAAAGTACCTTAAAAAATTTGAGGACAATGCCCCTGAATTTCCGCTTTGCTATACGGTCCCCAGTCATTCACAATCCTAGATCCATGAGTGAAATCCTAACTAAAGTTACAACAACTAGACAAAACAACACATAGGGTGATAGGGATGACAACATTGTACTAACACTTCATATATTATAAATGGAAAATGCTAGGGGTACACCAAAAGTGTACCCCAAACATCCCCCACCCCCTCCATCACCACACAAAAAAGGCAAGAAATTTTCAAAAAAAATTAAAAATAAAAACAAAATAAAATGAATGGTTAGTGGGAGGGTAGTGTACATTTGGGGTACACTTTTTGGTGTACCCCTAGCATATCCCATTATAAATTTGTTTTTATCTACATACGGAGTAGTTTTAAATATAAACAACTAAGATAATTTATTTTTGAAAAGTAACTTAAATTTACGCAGAATATTTAATTTTATTAAAATATACATACACAAGGGACAGTTTTATATACGCACATTACGCTGCTAGTAACAACTATTTCCGCTGTAGCGTAGGCTTATTGAAAAATTCTGCAACTCAACCGGGTTCGAGCCCCGGCAGCGGAGAATTTTTTTTATTGTTCATTGCCTTCCAAATTTAGGGTTTACAAGGAGATTTTTTTCCATGGCCTTAGATTCAATCTTTCGTTTTTTTATACTTGTAAGTAATAAACTTGTAACATATGGTAAATTATAAAACTTGTATGTAAACTTGTAACATATGGTAATTACAAGGAGATTTTTTTCCATGGCCTTAGATTCAAAATCATAAAATTTAAATTTATAAAATTATAATTTGATTCCAAATGACCTGAATGTGCATGACTTAGAAACTGCCCATTAGACCACCGGTGAAAGAATGTTGAAAGTTCGTGTACTTTTGTGATAGGAATTAAAGTTTATATACCGAACTGAAATAATAATGAAAGTTTGTATACCATGGATGAAATTTACCCACATGAAACAGTTTTATATAATCCCATTACGCTGCTAGTAACAAATAATTCTGCTGTAGCGCAGGCTTGTTGAAGAATATTGCAACTCAACCGGGTTCGAGCCGAGCCCCGGCAGCGGAGATATTTTTTTCATGGCCCTAGAAAAATTCATCACGTAAAATTGTAACATATGGTAAATAGAGATCAATTCATCACGTAAAATTTACCAAGTTATTTTTTTTCTCATTATTTCTTTTAGGGTTGTGGTGACAATAATTTGGTATCGTTCAACTGTTCTCATTTCTTTCTCTCTGTACGCCTCTCTCCAAAAAAAAACCCAGCATGTGATCTCCTCTCAAAGATGCTTGATCCAATTTGTGTTGGCGAAATCATAGATAACACGGATTAATATGAGAGTCGTGGTATTACTTTCAGATTGATTATTTTGGGTACGGTACGGTGTTCAATCCAAAAATCAATCGGATAAAAACTCAAAAAGCGTGAGTTTCATATTAGAATTCGAGAAAATGCGTACTTCCTTTATTTTGATCTTATTTTTTTTATCTTATCGTTAATATCATTACCTTTGAATGTGTCATATATGAGACTTGCATTGAACATCTCAAACATTGAGATATATTCCCTCCGTCCCCAAATAAATTTCCCCTTTCGTTTTTTCTGTCTCTAAAAAAACTTCTCTTTTCCCTTAAAAAACCACTTTTACCCTTTACTTTTTCATACCCTACCTATCATATCATACCTTTTTACTAATAATCTACCCATCACATCTTACTTTTATGAGAAAAAGACCAAAGCAGGACTAAAACATTGAAAATATATCAAAATAGGACTTCCATGTTTTTATTCCCGAAATAGGACTTAGATTACCAAACATGGTCATATACATTACCAAAAAAGTATAGTAATTTGCACATGTACACTGCCACGTTACCACAATGCAAAGTCACATTACCACAGTGCAAAGTCCTATTCCGAAAAAAAAACATGAAAGTCTTATTTTGATACTTTTCTCTATGTTTTAGTCCTATTTAGGATGATTTTATACTTTTATCCATCACATCAAAAGTATTTTTGGAAAGTCAACACCAAAATATCCATCCCTTAATTTTCCAATAAGTTAATAAGAGAAGTTTATTTGGGAACGGAGGAAGTATATGCTAGATCTGGAACACTTAAATGGTTTGCTATTCGCAAAACTCAATGGCGCTTTGCTTTGAAGCTTAATTAGGTGTGTGGTACATCATCGGATTGACTCACCCCTCTGCGCATCTTCCCTTTCATAACTACATCAGTTAATCTGCATTGGGTCAAGGTTCCATATATGATGAGAAAATTTCACTCATTTATTATTCATAATGTTGATCCGTCCCAAAAAATCGTTCTTATTTCTATTAAAAAGTCTCTTTTACCCTACTAATTTTAACCTACCTGTCACATCATACTTTTTCACTATTCATCACATTCAAGAGAGTGCATTTGATGACTTATCCATGTGAGATCTCATTGTCATCATAATAAATCCTGGAGCTGGAGTTAGGCTGACAACACATCCTTTGAAGATCTTGAAGGTGTGACAAGCCAAGGAGTTACACGCAAATAGAGTTTGACGTCAAATTAAATCACATGTAAGAAGATTAAGTCAATTCAATTCGCAAATAGGGTCTATTGAAAATGAAGGTGTAACCTTTGCAAGACTCTTACACAGGTGTGTGGCTCGAAAGCGTATGAGAAATTGACACACAAGGTGTTATTGATGTTATAAAAACTTCGCGCAACACCTTGCAATTTTTCCGTTGTTTGCTCTCTGTGTTCTACATTTTGTTTGGGTATCCTGTTAGAGCATCTCTAACCATGCAAAGATGGCCCGTTATATGTTAGAATTTGACAAGTTTGCTAAAAAATGAAAATAACTTGCTACTAATAACAAGCTTGGCAAAATATAGCTAGTTAAAAAGAAGAATAGAAATGTTGATTGTGTTACTTTTTTTTCATGTGCCACAACACATTTGTTCCCTCACGTTTACTGCCACAATACAAGAAGAAAACTAATTTTTTTTGAAGGAAAAAAACTAATTCTTTTCTTACAAAAAAAAATATTTTTTACAAAAAAGTATTTTATTTTAAATTAGTATTTTTAAATAGCATACTTACGAAGTTACTTAATATTTATAAAATAAAATAACAGAATTTTAAAATTATTGTAAATAGTGTACTATAATAGTGAAATCAATATATGTTAAATAAATGGCTTGCTATACCACCTTTCATATGCTAAAAAATGATTTCTGCAAGCCATGTTTAACAAGTCGAGATTTCAGTAACATGTTATGCCAACCAATGATTGCTCACCAAAATTGTTAAAAAAAAACGAGGAATTTTATATCACCAAGGTTCCCATGACATTGGAACCCAATGTATTGGGATTCCCCGTTCGTAAAATTGATGGTTCTTACCCCCGGTAAACCCCCCACCCCGTCCCGACCCGAACACACATCCTCTACCCCCGTCAATTGCACTCCACAAGTTAATTTTAACTTTGGAGTCAAATTTTGAACTTGGTGACCTTGCTCCCAGCCTCAGTCACCACACCAGTGAACTCGTGCCTGCAGAAATGGGTCGTTCGCTGGTTGGGGATTCGTTAACAAGGAACAATATCAAGTTCTCAACCATATAAAACCACACAGATTGAGAAGCACATTGCACCCAAAGAAATGACAAAGCATATATGACAAACCACACAGATTGAGAAACACATTCCATCGCCCAATAGTTGAATTGAAGAAAGAGTCACTGTTTATGTCGGCTAATATGGCGACAAAACGAAAAATATTCCATTGCCTATTCCGTAGGCAAAAATTGTCGTCGTGCCCAAAAACTGCAACTATTTCCATCGCAAATACCATCGTCAAATTTTTAACATGGGCGTATGGGTGGGTTCAAGTTGGGCTAAAGTGGGAGGTTTTTACTGTAAGGCTTAGAAGAGTAAAAAGCCGCCAATTTTAAAAATGGTGTAGAATTGAAAATAATAAAAATTATATACATATTACTACGTATAATATTACATTAAAAGATCTGCAAAACTAGCAATGACATAACTATTTTATTTTATCAAATGACTACTAAAAAAAGAAAGTAAATGAAGAGTACTAATTACTTTTTTTTAATCCATTATGGCAAGTGCCCCCCATGCCAATGAATTGGATCGGGGCCTATTGAATGACAACGTCATGGGTACCCTCCAAAGAAAAAAAATGAAGAGCAAAGAAGTATATAAACGCAAAAAGACAGAAATGAACATTCAATAAAGAAAGAACAAACAATCATTAAAACCTCACAAAACAGCACATACATCGTACAATTTGCTGCAAATGTCTACCTTATACAAAGTGATGATCCAAAAGTATGCAAAGTGAAGATCAAAAGGCGGCAAGAATATCGATACATATATACAAATAGATCAACAAAAGATCCAAAAGCATTCTCCCAAAAGAAAGTTGCACTCACCTGAAGAAAATAGCATATGCAAATTTAATACCAATCATCTCCTGCCGCAGTGTGTTGACATGAAATTTGATCGATCGATTGATCAGGAGGTGACAAAATGGCACATCGAATCCACATAACTCTCAACGTCCCAAAGGAATGACCCAAAAGCCGCAGCCTCCAGAAGAAGCCTCTTCAGACCACCGAAACTAATCCTAATAACATTCTCTTCGGAAGGATCTATGGTTCCTTGAGGCGTGATAGCAATCTCGGGTCTACCAAACAGTGCTTCAGTGTGTTTCTCGATTATTCGTATGGCTTCTTTCGATCTGATGGTTGCGTACCTCTGAAGGGTCTCCCCATCAAGTGACATCACATATGATCTCAATTTTGATTGCTTAACCCCCCTGGAAAAAGAAAACAGTTCGACTTCAGGACCAGATTCTGGTGAGCTCAATGAAGCGTCATTATGGTCATCCACAGATCTGAACTTTTCCTTGGGAACCTGCATATTTCCGTCGACCGTTCCCTTGGGAAGGATTTTCATGGTCTTTTCCAGCTGGAATCTCTGGTCAACCCGCTTAAGGAAGTACCCATACATAACAGATGCGGCGTAAACCTGACCGACTCTAAACTTGCTTATTTGAGTTTCAGAGGTATTGTCGCCCAATCTGTTCCCAAGGATGAGAGCTAGGTGGTTTTGAATCATGCCATACGCTTCAGGGGAATGGATGTGGGGAAATTGCTCATCTTTGTTAGGCCACGTATCCACCCGACCAGAGGAGTCGGAAGATGACAAAGTTAGGGCTGGAATCAAAGGTACATCGGCATCCATGAATTTCTGGACCACTAATGCATACAGTATCTCTTCCAGTGCCTTTTTCCTCTCATTAGCCTTAACCTCTGCAATTCTCCTAAAAATAATAGTAATAAAATCAATAAGGATTAATTAAACACGACATTGAAACACTAGTGAAATAAACTCGCTTTGTCTCACTATTAAATCGACGGGTTCCTTTGGAGTTAAGTAAAGTGTTAAAAGTGAAACATATATGCCTGAAATTTGTTGAGAAAAAGAAAATGGGTCGTGCCCCAAGAAAAAAAGGTAGGTGTAAATATTATTTTTGGGACGAACAAAAAAGAGAAGTGTAAAGTTAATTGTGGAAAAACTACTTAAAAACTGTTCTGGAAAAGAAAATGAATAGAACAACTGAACAAAGCACGCATTAATCAGTTAATTTGATTGCGGCCAATAGAAAGCCAGCTCTTCAATGTTCACTAACTTAATTTTACAATTGCTTCTTCACCTCTGCAACCAACTCAAGTACTCATGGCTCACCTGTACAAAACAAGCTCAGCGCCAGATACAGATAGTTCATCCTTCTGGATATCTACATTGTGAGCAGCCTGAAGCTGTTTAAGTTGCTGATCAACTGCAGCAGGGACAAGATGTGGATGATTTATCATAACCTGAGAAAGAAATTGTCCAACTGGAGATTCAAATTGAAGTGGAGCAATCGGATCAGCTGGATCTCCAGAACTGGAAGGTGGCAATGATGCTCTAATTGCACTCCTAAAAGCCACATTCTGGTTGCCATACCTCACGTGAGAAGCAGAAGGGTGCAACTGACATGCAGACGTCAAATAAGCTCACCATTTAATAACAGTGGAATTGCAGTGGTAAGAAGTCATGAGTTGAGATAAATTGCAAGCTACTACCGCAAAGAATTGTCTCAAATTATTAATTACAATGCAAGTGAGTTGCCGTATGAGGTTATGCCTCTACAAGAAGTAATAGAAAGTATGAGTGTTTCAAAAGGATTTGAGGATTTGATTTTGATTGTAGGGTTGAAATGATTGAATTTTAAGTGAAATCAAAAGTGGGGTGTGTTTTCAAAACAAGTAAAAAAGTACTTCAGTGTATTAGATTGTTTGCAAAACAAAACAACTTATAAAACCACTTAAAGCAGAAATGGCAATAAAACTTACCCCAACTCACAGCCTAACACTCTAACCAAAAAAATCAGGGATGAGGTGGCAATAATGAATAATATTATGAAAAAAATCCAAAAAATGTTTAATTTAATCGCGAGAATGCCATGAAATCAAAGCAGAAAAAAGCATCTAAACAATTGCTTATTTCTCATCAGGTTTGGGGCCATCCAAAAGTGATTATTTAAGCTGTTTTTTCAATTGAGCAAATACTTACATTGTAAAAGCGGTTTAATAATGGAATAAGTAGAAAAAAAATCTCTTGCAAACACTCCCACAGTATAGCATGAATAGGTTGCAATTCATATTAGAGAGAATTTTAAAAGGAAATGCATGTACAGAGTATTAGTTAGAAGATGCTACAATGTTTTTAGTACTCCGTATTAAACATGGGGTAACTTAGTTTCTTCCTATACATGAGGTAATCATTAATAGGGCATATATAAGCTCATATGGTTGTTCCACATGATGAAAAATTTGGCAGAGAAGGTGATTACAAAAGGAAAGAACATAGAACATGATCAACGGCCTAAGAGAGTTCTAGGGCATGAATAATTGATATGGAAATTAAAATAAATGACTTTCTATTGATCTGGCTGATAGCATAAAAGCAAAATAAAGTAAAATGAAAGTGATGGTAAGACCAATATGTCCAAATCTGCAAACAGCATCATTGCATAAGCAAGGGAATGTGATATACAATCGTCCTCCCACATACCATCAATCATTCAATTGTGGGTAGCCTTCTATTACCAAGATAAAAGAATTCTATCAAAAAGGTGGAACACGCCCACTCCGGGCGCCTCCACACTTCAACCCGACAGGATTGTGATGAAGGTAAATTATGGTATAATCTCAATCTAGTCCTTAGAGAAGCCCGCCCCATGCCCAGTGCGCACAAGGAGCTATTACAAATAATAGCGCCGCTGCCGGAATTCGACCCTAAGATCAACGGACTTGACATCCTCTCTTTGGACCAGTTGAGCTACCCATGCGGGCAAGAATTCTATCAAAGAATGCGATATACAATGGTCCTAATCTGCAAGGACGAAGGAGGGGGGGCTGCTGGGAATAGGCCCCACCGGCGATTTTCCGACAAAGAAGGACCTACCACCAATTTCTATTGCAGTGTTGCAGCATCTCTTCTTTACTGAGTGAAGTAGGTTTATTTTTTTAAAGTACATGGCCAAAACGACGTAGTTTTTATTTAAAAAAAACCAAATGTTTTAAGTCAAATGAAGTGTTTTGAAAGATTTCAATTGGAGCACTCTCTCCGATCCAATCCAACGTCGAGCAGCGCCACAGCCCCCCAGATGTGGTATGCAAATTGAAAAGACAACAATAAATACATGAAACAACAACCGTCTACATGTGCCATCCCGATCTGGATTCTAGAAATGGCTTTACCTCTGTAACTCTGTTGTCTCAACAGCTTCGGGCCGTCTTCCTTGCAGGTTATATTTTTGTTTAAAGGATTTTTCATTCTCTAATTATACGGAGTAATTTTTTGACTTGTTGTTTCATACGAGGAATGACGATGAATTCATATTGCAGTTGAGTAATTTTTCATGTGTTTTTGTTATGATTTATTAGATTTACAATTATACTCTTTTGTTGTTTAAAAAGAAGAATGATAATAAATTTATAATTTAATTGAATACATTTTAGTTTGTATTTTCGTTTCCTATTTGTGTTTGTGTTCAATTAATGAAATTGTCATTTTATTACTTTTTTGTTAATTTGTACTACCTTTGTCTTAACATATTTGTCCAATTTAACCTTTTTTAGTCAAACTAGGTCAAACTCAACGAACTTTGGACCTTAATTAAATAAGAACTGTAATGTACATTAGTATAAAAATGATTTCATTATATTTATCTTGTTAAGATCTTTCAAAACCTCATTTTGTTGTATTAATATAAATACAAATTGAGAATAATTGATGATTAAAGCTTTCCCATTTGACTAAAAAAAGTTAAATTGGATGAGTAGACCAAGACAAAGGGAACATTTGGTTTTAAAAAAAAATTCAGGGGGCGCTGCCTCAAACTCTGGCAATGACCAATGTGC